CACTCACTCACTCACTCACTCACTCACTCACTCACTCACTCACTCACTCACTCACTCACTCACTCACTCACTCACTCACCCACTCACTCACTCACTCACTCACTCGCACACCGTCTCTCTCTCTCTCTCTCTCTCTCTCTCTCTCTCTCTCTCGGTGCCTCTCTCCTCTCTCTCACTACCTCTCACTCTTTGTTTCTCTCTCAATCACTCTCGCTCTCTCTCTCTCTCTCTCTGTACCTCTCTCCCTCACTCACTGTCTCTTTCTCCGGCTCGATCCTGAGCGTCGAACATGGAAACAGCTGTTGGACAGCGCCGTCGCCCCCGCCCCGCCCCGCCCCCAGTAGTGGCTGCCAATATCGAGTGGCATGCCTATACCTATGTGCATATGTAATGACGCCTCCTCCTCCCCCCCCTCCCCCCTCTCCTCACGGGCGCCCCGCGCGCAGCCTCTGGCCGCGGGACCCGCGGGAGCGGGCGCACGGCCCGACCAGTCCGGCGAGGGCAGGTGCAACTAACTAACAGCCATAAGCTCCGGCGGTCTTGCGCCACGAGGGTGCAGTAGGAGTAGCAGCAGCTTCGGCAGTAGCGGCCGCAGCAGGAACAGCAGCAGCAGCAGCGGCGGCGGCGGCGGTAGCAGCAGCAGCAGCAGCAGGAGTAGCAGCGGCAGCAGTAGCAGCAACAGCAGGAGTAGCAGCAGGAGTAGCAGCGGCAGCAGCAGCAGTCGCAGCAGCGCGCATTGCTCCCATTACTGTATCTACTCGCGGTTCGGCCGATAAAACCCGTACAGCGAGCCGATCAAGCAGCTCTCTGGCTATTTGACTGCTCCGTAGCCTGTTAGTTTTGCAGCTGAAGGTACTAACCAGGGGTCTCAGACACGCGGCCCGCGGGCCGCAAGGGCCGCACTGGAGAGAGATGGAGCTATGTGATCGCAGTGAGTGCGAGTGAGAGGTCCGGCTCGTGCGGCCCGCGTGACGTCACAGTCTGAGACCCCTGACTAACACTCTCTCTGTGTAACTCTCTCACTCACTCTCTCCGTCTCCCTCTCCCTCTCTCTATCTCGCCTCTCCCAAACGTCCCTCCCGCCTACCGCAGATGTTGATGGGCGGGCTGAGCCGCAGCAGGCCCGGGTGCACGAGCAGGGTCAGCTTGGCGGCGTTGAGGACGAACACGATGTCGGCCTCGGCCAGCTGCACCAGGGTGCCCGGCGCGGCGGTGCGCGCTGTCACAGAGACGACAACAACACTCCAGCTCGGCACGCGACCCACCGCCGCCGCACCCAGCAATCTGAGCCACGCTCGTCGGTGACTTTGCGTAAAAACCGCGTGTGTGTCGAGAGAATTGGTATGTGGACCGGTGTGCGTCAGCCGACGGATTGCAGCCGCCGCAGCGACTGCGGCAGCCACAGTGTCTGCGGCTGTCACTCTGTAAGGGCACCAATCTGCTGATGCTCCCCGGAGAAGGAGGGGAAGAGCGGACCGCTAATAAAAGACACAATAAGACTCTCAGACGCGGCGGCGGCCGCAGACCGACTGACCGAGCGACACACACACACTCGGCCGCACGCCGCCGACGACCGCAACAACAGCAAAAATTAAACCATCATCGCGAAAAAAGACGGTGCGAGCGAACGGTCGCGAGCAGAGCAGCGGTCGTGGTCCGCGCAGCCTGCGGGCGGGGCGCGGACCGGGCGCAGCACGGTTCGGGTGTTGCACAACGGCTGATGTCCAAAACGGTCGGGGTGTTGTCAAACCGCCGACGTCAGGGGGTTATAATTTTCTTTAAAAAATGTGTCTTGCGAAAACTTGTTACGATCTTTTTTTTTTACGTCGCAATTTTTTCCCTTAAAGGGTTTTTTCTCTAATTTTCTTGGAAATATTTCAATGTTTTTGAATATTTTACGGAAAAATTTCGGGCATTAAAATTCCGCGATTCTCGAGTCTCGGGTCGCCAAAATTCAGGGTGAAAACTATGGCATTTTGACACTGGATTGCAGTCCGATGCATGAATTCGACGCCAGCGTCACATACTTTTCTGCCCCCGTCTACCGTCGCTCGCGTACCCGAGTACAGCAGCCCGATGATGGCGTCGAGACGCTCCAGGCTGTTGCCGGCGTCGCACGGGTCCTCGGACGCCATGGCGCGACTGCAGTGATTGTTGTTGTTGTCTCTACTCTCAAGGCTGGGAGTGGGAGATGGGAAACCTCGTCGATTAAGAATAGCATCGGCGTATTATGACATTATTCATAACTCCGTTACCAGAGCTACACACGCTGACTGTTGTGGCCGGAGGTGGGATGGTGGCGGCTCCCGAATAACATCGGCGTTTGAAAGACGATGAGTCTTTATTTTGGTAAGTAAAATACAATAATAATAACAAGTTACCCACATCCTCGCGTCGGGTTTCATGCATGACGCGCGTGAAAATAACGACAAACAAACACAAAACGAGAGGAATTTCACCGAGTTCGATGGCTATGGTGTGAGCTTTTTGACCATACGCGCGGGAAGTCCGAGTCCATCCTGGCGTCACGAACATATCGGCATCGCTCTCCGATGTTTGGTCCCTTACTCACTCTACGTCCGCTCCGTCCACCGCCCTCTGGGCCATAGTGGCATTAAACCTCGGCGGCACTTCAAACAACAACGAAAAAACACACTCGTCCGGCTGGTCCGCCGACGGAACACAACACGTCGATCAACCCGAGTGGTAGAACAGTTGAAGGAGTTCAGAAGCGGCTGGTCGCCGAGCCCGCGGCGTCGAGCCCGCCGGCGTCGCCAGGCGCGCCCGCCCCCGGCCCCCGCTGCAGTCCGCCCCCGCCCCCCGCCATGGCGGCGGCGGCGTCCTGGCCGGCCGACCCCAGCCGCGACCTCAGCTCCAGGGCGGTGTTCGAGGAGCTCGAGCTGGACAGCGCGCTCCGCAGCGAGGGCGCCAGGAACATGTGCGGGTCCTTGGGGGTGTCCCGCGGCGGCTCCACGGCGGGCGACGACGACTCCCGGCTGGAGCTGGCCGAGCTCTCCCGGCCGTCGGCCACGCGGGCGTCGCCGCCGGCCATGTCGGCGCCGAGCGGCAGCGCCGGCCTCCGCGCGGACGTCGTCGCGGACGTCCTCGTCGGCGACGTCGGCAGCTCGTGGTCGTCAGCGGGCGGCGCGGACGGCGGCGGCGACCGGTAGAGGGTGGCGGCCGGCGCGGTGTTGGTGGGCGAGGACAGCGCGCCCAGCGCGCCCAGCGCCCCCATCGCCCGCAGCGCCGGCGGGGTCGTTCTCTGCGGAAGAGGAGCGACACCGCGCCGTGTGGGTAGGCAACCCAACGTACGCTAATCGCTACCTGCTACCAGAGGCTACCCGGGTCCCGGCGGGGACCGTGCCCACAGGGCGGTCATCAGTCACTCATAGATCGCTCGGAGCACACCGCCAGTCCAGCAGCGAGCATGCAAAACGAGAGGAAACTTGTCTAAGGCCATTCGTAAAGCCAGTCGACTTGTTCTCGATGATAATAAAAAAAATAAATGCGGCGCTTCTCGGCATCCTCTGAACATTTCCACTTGTGCAAAATTTTTCCGCTGTTCTGTTGTTTCTCTTTGCTGCTGCTGCTGCTGGCAGTGTGCTGTTTGCTTTCCTCGCGGGGGTCTCCCAGGCTCCTACTCTACAGTAGTGGCCCAATGCAATGCAGTGTGAGGTATATTCGAGTGAGGAGGACCCCAGGTCCGTGATATGATATGGGTGCAGAAGAGGTAGGCAGGCAGGGATTGGCGGACGGGAAATCGAAAACAAAAACAGAATAAGACAGAGACAGAGCAGGGACATGATGACAAGGATGAATACAAACTAAGCACAGGGGCACAAGGCGGCGGGCGTGTGGTGGACTCTGCACCGGGCCATGCCGTGACGCTACACGTGTACATGAACTCATCGGCTGTTCCGGCGCGACCGCGCCAGCTAGCGACGTTCCCGCCCCTCCGCATACAAACCAGGATGTTGGTGGTTTGTAGTACTTTAGAATATTTATAACACCCCCCCCCCTCACCCCACCTCCCCCGAGCCACGCACCAACGCAACGACGCACCCGCGAGCCTTCTAAAGCTGCGCGGCTCGAACTGCTTTTGTTCTATTCTGCTTGCCCACTAATCTGGCCACCGATCGACGACGACGGGTCGTCTGCCGGGCGACTGTGTCGTTCTGCCAGCGGGAAATGGGCGCGCGCGCGCGGGCGCGACTGTTTCCCATCGATTTGAGTCGTTCGAGAGATCGACACACACACACACACAATGACCAGCTCGAAACGCGTCTGCGGCCAACAACGTCGTGAGAACCTAATCATTCCGCGTCAACACGACGCGCGCGGGGCTTCTCATCGGACACATTTGGAACGACTTTTGCATCAAGGCGGCCTCCAAGAAATCGCGCGCAAATACGGAAGTCCCGCGTGGACTGGCGGATTGTTATCCTCCAGCCATTAAAGTTGGCACTGTTTGTGCTAAATCCCAAAAGCAATTTTTTTCTCTTTTTTGTGTGTCTTGAGGTAACTCTTCCTATTGCCTATTCAATACGTTTTACGCGAAAATATCGTCTTAGTAAAAGGCACTCACACAATGGAAACAATAATGGAAGTGCGCAATTTTAGCACGTCAAAACTAACTGCAGGACGACAAACGCGTTAGAGATAAAATGAAAAATGAGACGCATGAGAGAAGGCGGCGGCGAGGTTCCCGATATCTTACCAGCTCGGTGACGGCCCGCCCCACGGTGAAGAGCCCCACGGGCACCTCGTGCATCCAGTCGGCGACGGGCGCCGTGGCGGGGATCTTGGGCCCGCCGGGCGCGTAGTTGTGGTGGCCGAAGTGGTAGAGGTGCGACGCGCCGGCCACGCCCACCGCCTCCATCACGGCGATCTGGGTGGTGCGGACGTGGAACGGGAAGTTCTTGTTGGCCTTGGACGGCCGCGTCAGGATCTGCGAAGTTCATCGGAAGTCACCATCATTGAAGCCAATAGGGACAGTTTTGTGCAAAAGAAATTGGTGTTCGGTCTCATTCCGCGGGGTCCTTAATTCTCTAAAAAAAAAATCAGGAAAAAATCAGAAAAA